GTGTTTTTTAATACTGCTCAAAATATATGTTAGATGGAACATGTTTTCCCTCTTTTATACTACTACTTGTTTATATTCTTTTTCTCGGGGTCATTTTTTTTTTTTTTTGGTCACTATTTCTACTGGTCTACTCATATTTTTTTCTTCTTGGTTTATAAATATTCTTTTATAATTAAGGGAGTTAGCCATTTTTTCCCAGTGTGTGTGTGTGTGTTCACATATACCACACGGTGGTACACAGTTTAAGATTTGGGGATTGTCAGATTTAATCAGTCCCTTATGTGTTTAATCAGTCTGTGTTTTTGTGTTTGGCACACAAGTCAGTGGTTTCCAAATGTGGCATCTCAAAACACCAGGTACAAAACATGGCCTCAGTCTGTTCACATATACCACACGGTGGTACACAGTTTAAGATTTGGGGATTGTCAGATTTAATCAGTCCTTTATGTGTTTAATCAGTCCTTTTGTGTTTTGGCACAAGTCAGTGGTTTCCAAATGTGGCATCTCAAAACACCGAGGTACAAAACATGTCAGTCGGAGGGTGTTGTAGAAATGTGCTAATAACAAAGATCTGTGGTTTGTGAGGAATTTGGTTTTTAAAAAGTGTATCCACGTTTATGGAGCATCTGGGTGGCTCAGTCAGTTAAGCGTCTGACTTCAGCTCAGGTCACGATCTCACGGTCTGTGAGTTCGAGCCCCGTGTCGGGCTCTGTGCTGACAGCTCAGAGCCTGGAGCCTCCTTTGCATTCTGTGTCTCCCTCTCTCTGCCCCTCCCCTGCTCACGCTCTGTCACTCTCCTCTCTCTCAAAAATAAACATAAAAATAGTACCCACATTTTTAAATTAACATCCAGGAAAGGGTGCATAACTCAAAGCCCATCGTAGCTATGCCAGGGCAGGAAACCACTTAAATCTAAGCAGATGCCGTATGGATTCCATTCTTTGGTGCGTCACGGCGGAAAAAAGAGCTAATTTCTACTGTGGGGATCGAACAGATGTTGGGAGCACACGATTATGGTCTCACTTTAGGGGCATGGGCTTCAGGTTAACACCCACCAACGCAGAGGATTTCTAGAGGCAAATGGGAAATGCCAGAAACTGCTCTTGTACTTTTCTCGATCCGCTCACCTGAGAGCTGACGGGTTCCAATTGCGTTTTCTACCAGCTTCCGGAACACCTGGAGCACCTTGGCGGGCACAATATCTCCCTCAATGTTCACGTCTGCCTCATGCCACTGCCACTGGCTCTTCATGAACTGCTCCGCCTCCAGCCACTGCCGCAGGCCCTCTGGGTCCTGCAAGGGACAGGGGAGCCTGGTGCCCCGCAGGGTGTAGTATCGCCAGCGCTGCTCCCTGGCCTCCCTGTACCCCACCAGGCCCTTTACCGGGACCGTGACGAGGAACTGGCAGGGGGCCAAAACCTGGGGTCGAGAAGGGAGAGAGAAGTGTGAGTTCACAGACTCAGAAGGTCGCAGAAATCCTCAGGGAGCCGGCCTGTCGAACCGGGCAGCTCGGTGAACCACTCGACCCTCAGCAACGTGCCGAGACGGACAGAGAGCTGCACCTGTTCATCCCAGGAGGCGTCCGTCCTTGTGCCACTAACCACCGTGATGCCTCGGGCGGGCGAGAGGACTCGCTAGTCCTGGGTGTCAGGAAACTTCAAGGAAAAGAGCGAGCCTGACTTGCAACCCCAGAGGGCACCTAAGGTCCGGGGGAGAAGAGAAAGCAGGGAATACAAATAGTACACGCTGTGCTCTGCGCGTACTGAACACCGCAATTCTCACGCATCAGACTATGTGATATTCCCAGTCACACAATGAGGCGGCGGGCTTTGTTAACACTTCCCAGAGGAGGAATCTAAGGCTCAGAGGGGCTCTGAGATCTCCCGAGGGACACACAGCCATTCAGTGGTAGAGCCAGAAGGTGAACCTGAGCCCTCTGATGGGCTGGCTCTCAGTCAGGGGGGAGTGGCCTGGAACGGGCGAAGGGTCTGGCAGAGGAGGGCACGGGAGGGGGTGAAAGCATTCAGCAAAAATGTCCCTCTTTCTTTTTGCCTGTACCGATGACCCACAGCCCGTTTTAATGATCGGTCCTTACAACATCACAGATGAAACAAAAGGCAGTTGCTGAGACCACGTGAGCCACTGAGATGATTCTAAGCTTCATGGGATAAGACAATCAGAATCTACCTACTCCACTTCTACAGGTACCGGTTAGGCAGAGGTCAGGGTGAAAGTGGTCAGGTGCGAAGTCCAAAGGAGAGAACACACTGGCCAGCAGCACACTACGCCCAAAGGGAGCTTGACACTGTGGGCCACATCACGTGGCAGTCTACTCTGTGCCGTACCTTCCCCCACCAGTCAGCTGCACACTGGAAGAGCCACCTCCCTTACATGGAAAGTTCTGACAGCGGTATTTGGTTAACCTTTGCTCAGGGCCCTGTCACTGGGCAGTTCGGGGGTGAGCAGCAAACTCCGTCTCATTCTCAGAGATCAACAGTGTGATCCTTTAGATGATGGATCCACATGACTTCTGAAGGCCACAGAAAGGCAGTAGGATTAAAAAAGGGAACAAAGCGGGGCACCTGGGTGGCTTAGTCATTTAAGCGCCGGACTCTGGCTCGGGTCATGATCTCACAGTTTGTGAGTTTGAGCCCCGCATCGGGCTCTGTGCTGACAGCTCAGAGCCTGGAGCCTGCTTCAGATTCTGTGTCTCCCTCTCTCTCTGCCTCTCCCCCATCTGCGCTCTGTTTCTCTCTCTCTCTCAAAAATAAATAAACTTAAAAAAAAAAAGGAACAAATCTAAACTATAGCACTCACAATCAATACATTATTTGAGTTCGCTTGCATGTGAATTCAAGAGTACAACTATCATGTTACTAGTCACATCAATGGTGCTTAATTAACACTCGCTGAATGTGGTCCAAGATAAAATAAAAGCAGTTTTTATATTCCCCACTGTAACTATTTTCAAAATTTAATATGCAGGACATCATGTACATAAATGCAAGATGTATTTTAAGCTATGGATTCTAAGTGAGACCACAGAAGGAAATTTCCTCAGAATTCTAGGAAAAAAGGCATTGTGTTTCTACTCCACGTCACTGGTCTGTATTTGTCTAATATAGGTTGGAAGAGTGAAAGACATCGGCAAACGATGTTGTGACATGTCAGGGTCCAATCTAGTTTTGCAATGTTTATCCCGGGGTGAATTTCCCAAGCTCGGCACTCTGACCCCAAATCCACAGGTTCCAGAATCTTGTGGGTGGTCCTTGTGGCCAACAACCTTGAAACGTCCTGGACCAGTAAGGGTCTTCTGTTCGGGTGCTATTTCTTCTGCTTATCCATTTATTCACTGAAGCTGGGTGTCCGCCATGGGCCACACACTATGCTGGTGCGAGGAACGGAGCGATCAATTAACATGAACTTTACAAACAAGGAGCTTGTAGTCTTGTGTGAGAGACAGGGCATGAATAGGTATATCTTTAATGCGAGTGAAAGGGGTTCTTACGTGCCATAAGAAAAATTGAGATAAAGGAGAATGAGAATCAGAGCCTCACTTCTCTCATCACTGAAAGGCAGTGAGCCATGTCTTTTCCACAAGGAGGCATGAGTGAGGCTATTTCTGTGACAATGGCTTGGCCCAAACAGCAGTGTCGCAGGAAGGCTGGCTGTCACCCAGGGCCCTGGCCACTTAGAGCCCTGTCCGCAGTGGGCACAGCGGGGCTGCTGCTGCCGTTTCTAAGGGCCACCTCTTCCTCTTCTTCCTTCCCCCACTTGCAACCCATAGACCCTCACTTTCAACTGTTTTCCCACCAGTGCCCTCAGTTCCCTCGCCCCAGCCCTCAATCTATGAACTAGGTGCTTCATAAATGAATGTGAAGTTTAACTAAACTTCAGGTGTTATAGCAAAATGTGCTTTGGAATCAAAAGCCCCGGGCTCAGTTCCAACTTTAGTGCCTAATAGGACATGATCAAGTCACTTGACTTCTCGAAGGCTCCATTTTTATCATCCGTAGAGGAGGAACGCGGGGGTTCACATGAGACAGCACCGATGGAGCGGGCGTGTAAATGATAAATGCTAAGAGCACCTGTGGTACATGAAGGCTTATCAGTATTCTCAGCAGTGTGACGTCCGTCGAATGCCCAGACGGGCCCACCCACGTTCCCTGGCTCTCTGGGAGGCGCTTGCAGTACAAGTGAGCCCTGCTTACCTTAATGTTCCCATTGTATGTGTCAGAGTAAGGGACGGCCTGAAATCGGAGGTCTTGGAGGCTGATCTCTGCGGTCAGATGGTGGACGACCCTCTGTACCTCCTCCACAATCTGCGAGATCTGCTGGCGCCTCAAGTCCACCTGCGTGACAAGGGATCAGCACAGGCGGTCATCCCCGGTGCAGGCTCCAGGCACCGGCATGGGGAAGTGACAACGTGGGCCCAGTGCTGGGTGACCACAGGAGTACACTCGAACAACCCTGCCCACCCAAGAGCTCCAGGGGAGATGAACTTGGGTGTGATGGCACCTGCTCGTGGCTCAATGTTCTCCTCTAAACTGGAAGCATTCGTTCAATATTTATCCAGCACCTGCTGCGCGGTGAGTGCCCACCTAAGTGAACAAGAAAATAGCGGACAAGATAGACTTGTCCTCGTATATACAGGACATATGTATATATGTGTACACATACACACGTATACACATACACACATATATACATGTATATATGTACACACAGGTATGTGTATGTATAATCTAATATCAGGTATGATAAAGCGCATGTAGACAAATAAAATAGGATAAGGGACTAGAGAGTAAAGGGGCTGCTATTTTAGATCAGGTGGCCAGGGAAGGCTTTGCTAAGGAGGTGACATCTGAGTGAACCTTATCAACGACTGGGGAAACCAACCCCAAGACCCGTAAAGCGGGAGCATGCTTGGCAAGGCTCAAGGACTGGCAAGGAGGACCCTGTGGTTGGAGCCTGGGAAAGGGAAAGGAGGGTGACAGGGGATGAATTTGGAAAAGATGGCGGGACCAGGCCATCCCATAGGGCTTTGTGTGCAGCGGTGAGATGATAAAATAGGGTAAAAAGGCTGCTATCCGGGTTGGTGAAGATTAAGCAGTTCAACGCTTGTAATCATGCTTTAGATGGTTTCCCACTTACTTTGTCCACAAAGGATGGCTGTCTCCACCCTGGTACTCACCCCTCCTTTGCTACTAGATTCACAAGGTGCGTGTTTGCTTTCCTTCAGACTCCACACTGTGAGTTCCCCAGAACCAGAACTACCAAAGATATATACCTTCACAGATACTTAAAGTTTAGGGAAATTGGTGTTTGTGGGGAACACAAAGGAACTTTTAGCAAAATCCAGGAGAGTTAGAAAGATCCAAGTAAAGAAGAAATGGGAAGAGTCTATAAGTGTTTTCTGAAATGGTGGGGCTCTGTTCCATTGCTCATGGTGCCTTGACGAGTGTCCCCTTGGAGGGGCTACTGAGCCTCGCCAGGAACTGACTGGAAGCAATATTTGGTATATCTAAACACAAGGTCCACCATGAATCTCTATATCCCCACCCAGTTTTGTACAATGGCTGTTTCTATGTATTCTCAAGTAGTTTAAGACACCCATAAACTGGTCAAGAAAACAAGTTCAAGGCAAAGAGATTTCTAGCTGCTTTTCTAAACTAAGTCACCAACTAGCCCAGTCCCCTAAGACCTCATACCTCCCACCCACAAACCCAACAACCATATACGGACATTGGACACAAATATTCACACGCATACATGTTGTATGTCACATACACATTATAAAGTATATCCTATGTAAAGTTAGTTCATTAATAAACATTTATTTAGCACCTCTGTGTTCCAGGTACTCTGTTACATGCTGAGGCACAGCAATGAACAGCACAGACACAGCCATGGCTGACAGTGGTGGGGAAGACAGGTGTCAGTACTGAATGGAAGTGTGGGTGCCATGATTGGGAAGTGTAGTGTGCCCCTGGGTACAATGGAGCAGAGGCCTTCTAGTCTGAAGACTGAGACCTGTTTTAAAGGTACTTGTCCCCACACAGGGGACTGTCTTTGAAAAACTAATACTCTCCAGATGTCTAGGAGTCACAAGAAACATAGGACGAGGCCCCTGATCTTCAGGAGTGTACAATCTCACTGAAAATACATGATACACATGAAATAGTCTTTTCAAAATCCATGTGTCTTGTCTGACCTTAGATATGATGATCGTGTCTATACAGGCTCAATCTTCTTCTTGCCACCAGTGGCCACAATACTGCTCTCCGTGTTTCTATCCCACTACATTCATCATGGGAGAAGGGACCCGGGGCACCTACCTTGAACATCTGCAAACTATCAAGATTCTGCATCTTCCAGAGTGTCCAGGTGGAAGAGGAAAGGTGGTCGCAGAGCGGATAGATCATTTGCCATGCCAAACATAAAGGAGAACATGTTTAGCAGCCCATGATGAAGGGTCCTCAGCAGTGTAGAAATTCTTTGTGTTGTGATTCAACTCCATTCAACCCATTTTGTTGAACACTGTGCGTACGTGTCAAGAGGTTTACAGACAAAGCAAGACAAATAAACTGGAAATTAAAGTCACAGCAATCTAGTGCTGGGTAGAGGTTTGCACAGGAAACTATGGGTACACAGAAAAGGGAAATTTCATCTAGTATTGGAGGCTGGGGGCCCTTTCTGGAGGCATAGTGTAGTGGTGTTGTATCTTGAAAGATGAGTAGGAGTTAGCTGGAAAGAGAAGGGTGTGAAGGTTGTTCTAGAAAGAGAAAATGGCAGATATCTAGTATGAGGAGCACAAGGGAAGAACTACAATGGCTCCTGTATTGTTGGAGAAGGGATTGCCTTGGAGGAGGATGGCGAAATGGGAGAATAAGCAGCAAGAGGTCTTGAGAATAAAGGAAGAAGAATTTCAAGAACAAAGTCAACAGTAAGGGGCCGAGCAAGATAGGGCCTGAAAAATGTTCACCATGTTTGGCAACTAGAACAGGATCAATGTGTTCGGGGAAGGGGTGGGCATTAAGCCAGATTGAAGTGGGTTAAGACTAAGTGCGAGGCAAGCAAGTAACAAGGTAAGCAACTCTTCCAGGAAGTCTGGCCAGGGGAGGGGTAAAACAAAACAGGGACACCAACAGGTTTTTTCAAAATGACACACAGGTTTGAACATGTCTAAATGCAGAGAGAAAGGAGCCGGAAGGAAGAGGCAGCAGAGAGCGAAACCGTGGAGTAAAAATTTCCCAGCCAGAGGGGCTTGCAAATCCAGAAACCTGGTGAGCACTTCACCTTGGTGCATCAGAAGGAAAGAAAGACAGGTGCAAACACAGATAAAGGGTAGGGAGTGAAGGAATGGGAGACATTTCCTGTCTGATGACTATTTTCTTTACAGCATAGGAGACAAGGCAATGTGCTGTAAGGTGGAGAAGGGAACGTAGGGGACTTCGGGATGACAGACTTTGGAGATCACATCTCTAAGAAATGGAGGCTGTTCAGGCATGTATGTGAAGATTTCCAGGAGGTCCCAAGACTCAGCTGTGGGGGGTGCCTGAGGCTGTGGGATACCAGTGGGCTTTGTTGTAAGATGTTCTCCACCCCCTCAGCCCTCCAAAGGTAACACCAGAGGTGCTAAGGTTAGGACTTGCTGGGCAAGATCTGGAGAAGAATAAAGGAACAAAGGAGGGTTTCCATGGTGGGCCACGTTTTCCAGTCAGGGGAAGAGAATGGACAAAACCATTTTGTAGATTAGAGAACATTGGACAAGTTCAGGGACCAGAAGTCTGATAAGGAATAGCGGGAGAAAGTAATACAAGGGCTAACTAAATAGAACACTGCAGTCAGAGTGGTTGGGAAATAGTATTCTCAAATAGCTAATTTCTTAGACTCTGTTGAGGACTAAGGCTCAGCCACAAATCCTCCAAGCCCACTGATGTGACTTCATAGAACTCAAATGTCAGTAACAGAGGGGTGACTCTCCACATTTTGTTTCCTGACTTGATAAACTAATGAAAGATTCATCACCATATTGACACTGTCAAATAATGTTTGACATTATTTATTAAATAATGTTTAGGGAAACAAAAGCAAAAATGAACTATTGTGACCTTATCAAAATAAAAAGCTTCTGCACAGAGAAGGAAACAATCAGTAA